TTCCTGCTGAATCAGAAAGGGATGCTTAAAAGAAGACATTTCATTGTGGAAATCCCTTTAAAGATAATTATCACCTTTATGTTGTGGTAATTTATTTTCATGATTTGAAATCATATAAAACAGTGGTCAGGAACTTCAGATGAATGTACATAGGTGACATTCATCCATTTGTTAAAAGTACTTATCTGTGAGAATTCTGAAAGTTTCCATTTTGACCTTTAGATCAGAAGAACCAGAGGAAAAGAAAGCACACACAGAAGATACAACTTCATCATCTACACAGATGATTGATGGTGACTTACAGGCAAATCAAGCTGCATATAATTATAGTGCCTGGTATCAAGTGAGTTTACATAATTATAATTGAATTTTTTGTTAATAGATGTTATTAGAAATGCATAAATGAGGATAGTCTTTTTTTTTTTCCTTTAGGAAAAACAACTCTTTGCTTCGGTTGCAGATTGTATAATACATTGTCTTCTGGTTAAGACTTGGAATTTCAGTAGTGAACACATGCTTGTTTTCTTAAATATACCTGCTTTAATTACATTTTTATATATAGAACTCAGCCATAGTTCTTGTATGCTAACATGTTTGCTTTTTCCTTTCAGTACAACTATCAGAATCCTTGGAATTATGGACAGTATTATCCTCCCCCTCCAACCTGATGGGAAAATTAAATATCAGATGGAGTGTGTGAAAAGTTTGAAATTATTTTTCTTTAATGAGGGATGTAAACATAGCATAAGCTTGTTGTATTTGATAACTTGTCTTCCCTGTTTCTGTGTAACATGATTTGTTCAGTAATAGGGGAAAATGTCACTTAGTAGCTTACCACAGATACTATTTCCTACCATTTATAAAATTTACTTTTTATTGGAGAACTATTTTTTTGATTTTTGCATTAAGTGGTCTAGAATTCTTTTGCAATGCATTTGCAACAGAGTTTTGTAGCCTTAAGGGTAGGGGAAAAAAAACTGACTGCAAATCATGTCAGTGTAGTACAAGGTTCTGAAAATACATAAGGGCTGGTTATTAAGGATTTACCTCCTCAAAAAAAAATGGCTTTTTAACCTTTGCTGACAAGATACTGTCTGTGTGGTTCAATTATCCTTGTGAATTTGGATCGAACAGCAGAAGATACCTATTAAAATATTGTCTTGGAATAGAGATTATAAATGAGGAATTGGAATGTTTGCATCCCTTTAAAAAAATGAAAATCATATCAAAACTTGTTTCAGGAGACTTTGTATTTGGAATATTCATGTTAAAACTTGTGAGCAAGCTTTCATTTTGATCAAACTGATCATCTTCGTTTTTGTAATAAAACTGAAGACTCATCCAATAATTGTTACGAATTTATTGAGGGGGGGAATCACCTAATAATATTAACTTTATATTCACCAGTATTAGTGGTTTATTGGTTTTGAAGTATACTTTTCTTGAATTCATCTATTGTTGACCATTTCTTAGACCTTTTAGCCTTTTGCTTCCTCTCAATCTCTATGCTTTCGCCTTCCTTATACACAAATATTTAAAGATTTTAAGATGATTGTCTCTGGCAAAGCTGTCCAGACAATTTTACTGTTACTCCCAGGTTTGATGAAGTCTTAGTACTGGTTAACCTAATCAGAACATGAATATATTTACACAACACAAATCAAGACATAGGATAAATTTTTATTGAGCCTTTTAGTTTACAACATGAGGTAAAAGGCAAGTCAGTTCTCTTTAAGTGATATTCTACACAGCTGTAGTAAAATATTTTAAACTTCAAGGATTTATAATGGATTACATTTCTTAGAAGTTGGGGATCAAGTAAACAAGTTCTGACTTAACTTCTTGAATTTTCCAGTTGACTCTTCCCTTAAAATAGTAACCAGTTCTAATTAGACACCTAAGTTTCTTCAAGGCCGTGTTTTATTTTTGCTGATGTCTTTACTATTTCAGTCAATATCCACTAATTCCACTTCAAAAATAAGTTTTGCATTTGGTGGAATTCTGTTGAAGAAGTCAAGGTAAATTTGATAAAATCTGCCTCTTCCCTTATTCCCCTTAGTGTAAATTAGAATTATGGGACTTCTCTGGCGGTGCAGTGCTTAAGAATCTGCCTGCCAATGCAGGGGACACGAGCTGGAGCCCTGGTCTGGGAAGATCCCACATGCTGTGGAGCAACTACGCCTGTGCACCACAACTACTGAGCCTGTGCTCTAGAGCCTGCGAGCCACAACTGCTGAGCCCATGCACCACAACTACTGGAGCCCATGCCCTAGAGCCCACCATAATGAATAGTAGCCCCTGCTTGCAGCAGCTTGAGAAAGCCCACGCATAGCAACGAAGACCCAACGCAGCCCCAAATAAACAAATTTATAAAAATAAAATTAGAATTATGTATATTGGATACTGGTAATTAACTCCAAAGGGAGGGCTTTATAGTTGACTCAGGGGCTAGTACATAGGAACCTAGAGGTTCCTAAAAGTATTTTTGTGAATGGAGGTCATAACCTGTCAATAAAGGCTGACTAGATAAATTCAGCTTTAACTAGGATCTTCCTTACCTGGATGCCTCTCTAGTACTGCCAAGTTAGCCACTATTTGATGAAGACTGCTACTCAGTATGCCCCACCCCTGCCCCAAGTGATTTCAATCTAGCTGATTGTGTAAGTTACATTAAATCAAAGTTCATATGAGGTAGTACCTGATATTTGCTGTGAATTTTCAGATGTTGAATTCAGGTAACAGTGATTTTTATCTGACTGGTTTTGAGATACTTCACGAGAGGGAGCTGCAGTTGGCCACGGGATTTTGATAGGCTGAGAAGAAGGCTATTATGTTCCCAAGTAACTGTAATTGATAAGACTAGAAAGGACTTCCAATTTTTTTATCCCCAAACTTACTCTAACTTGTCCAACTTGTCCTCTGGGAATGGAACCAACAACTAAACTACCTTCCTACTTAGCTATTGGATTGTTCTGGTCGTAATAGACTGGAGTCATGGCTCTTCTCTTTTTTTTTAATGTTCACAAATGGGGCCTATCAGAAAAGTACTGTCACTAGTTGTAATCACAAATGCATACACTATGATGTTGGACCTGTGGTCTCCTTCATTTCACAACTGGTGATCCCCAACGTGTTCCATTTCTAAGCTTTGAGTACCCAATTAATTGCCTGAAATCATATGGAAGCATAAAATTACCATGAGCCATATGTGAATCCAACAATTTGCTACAGTTGTTTGTATTGAGCATCTTAACTCCTTTAAATAAACCCTTCAAACATTAATAGTAGCTTTTCAGAGATGGAAATTTAAACCTCAGTTTAGGTCTTGAAAATTAAGAGCTTAAATAGGAAGAAAAAAAGACTCCAGCTCAAGTTAGAATACTTTGTAACAGTAGAAAATATTGTGTATATTGGAGGTGTTGACACAAAAGCATCTAAATATCAGGAAGACTGGTCTGGACAGGATCTCTGACCTAGAGGTTAACCTAGACAGCATTTACATACCTTCAAGTGATCTTTCTTAGTGATTTTTCTTTTAATTACAAAGGAAAAAAGGATACTTGGCATCAGGCTGTCCTTTCTTTCCATAAGCCCATTCTGGTTCAATCTCCAGTCGAGCCTTTTCTCCTTTACTCATAGTCAAGAGTGCTTCATCCCACTAAAGGCAAGAACATAAAATCAAAACTAATGATACTTTACAAAAGCATGCAAAGCCAGAAGAAAGGCAAGATTACATACAAAGTATTCTGTTAGAGGATTTCATGTCCTAAGGTAATGTCCTTGGGTGAGAGTCTCTAAATCTGTCCTTTATTTCCTCAATGAAAAAAGTTAAGGACACATTAAACAATTTTCTAGTGTAAATACTTTTCAAAATGATATAATGTCATTTTGTACAAATTTAGATCTTAGAGCCAAATTACCAAAAACAATATGATGCAAGGATACAGAATATATTACTAGTATCATATACTCTGTTGAAATGTAACAATTACATAAAGCTCAAATGATAGAGATCTGTCACATACTGGAAATTTAAGAGTATGGTTGACTAGAACAAATTTACCAGTAAACATTTTAGTTACAGAAACAAAAATAGCTCAACCTGATATATCAACTTGGTATAATCAGATAGTAGTTAAAAGTGATTTTCAACTAACCTTTAGTTTCAAGATGTTTTATATTCTATTTTGGGCTCTGGATGTGATTGAACAATATTTTAGGTCTTACCACAGGACAAAGAATAACACATTTAGGGTTCTCATAACTGCATTTAAATAGGCGTTTTGGTTATTAATATTTGACGTCCTCCTCTTTCATCTTCTTTTGTACTGTACACTGCAATGGTCAGGTACAGCTCAAGCCTAACTTCCCCTTTTTTCAGAGTTTCCTTCTGTTATCTCTCACATGTAAGGGTGGGTAAAGGCATACTTAACATTTGAAAGATATTTTTGGTGTTTGAGCCTAAATTATGAGAGGTGAGAGGGCCACAGGAAAGACTCCTAGAAGTTTCTATCAGTACTTCAGTGGAACACATATTTTACCTTTCTGAGTCATGTATAAGTGATACAACAGCTATTTAACATTTTATAAGAATCAAATTTAGAAAGCCAAACATTCTGGCAATTACAAAGAAAAAAATAATAAAAGGGGAAGGCATGGAAGGAAATAATATTTGAGTCTCTATTCACTTTAAGTTATACCTATTTAATCTTTTTTTAAAAAAAATTTATTATTTATTTTTGGTTGCATTGGGTCTTTGTTGCTGTGTGCGGGCTTTCTAGTTGCGGCGAGCAGGGTCTACTCTTTGTTGTGGTGCAGGGGCTTCTCATTGCGGAGGCTTCTCTTGTTGTGCAGCACGGGCTCTAGGCATGCGGCCTTCAGTAGTTGTGGCACATGGGCTCAGTAGTTGTGGTGCATGGGCTTAGTTGCTCCACGGCACGTGGGATCTTCCCAGACCAGGGCTCGAACCCTTGTCCCCTGCATTGGCAGGCGGGTTCTTAACCATTGTGCCACCAGGGAAGCCCCCCACTTAATTTTTTAGCAACCTTGAGGTAGGCTGTACTGTCTGAGATCCAGAGAATGTAATTTGTGCCAGATCAGTTAGCAATGATAGCACTTGATTTGTGAGACTCGAAAGATTGTTTTCATCCTATTCTCAAACCTAATTCTTTATGTTACCATACCACAAGTAGCGTGTGCCAGAATATCTACTGGTTCATGGCCAGTTTTTACTTACTCCTCTGATAACTTTTCCTATCCCAACCTTAAAACTTAAAGGCTTGGCATTTTTCTTCTTCTTTGAACCTGTAAAACAGATTTTCTTTATAATTAATAATGAAGTTAAGTTCCAATTGAAAAACACAGTGATTTAAGTCTTTAAATTGATTTCAGAACTTACCATGCTATGCATCTGAAAAGAAATAAAAATTCAGAAAGCCAAGTAATTCATCAAGAAAATTTTGGATGTAAAAATAATTATGGTCTAAAGGAGGGAGACGGAAAGGACCTATATTTACACCATTAAAATAACACTATTCTGTGAAATACAAAAGCCGGAATTGGGGGCATTAACAAAGTGTAGACTAAGCTTCTTTATTTTTTGCTTTTCAATGACCAAAAGGTCTTCATTTACACCCAGCCAAGTAGTGAACTGAAAACCTTTTACAAGTAAATCACAGGTGTAAAAGACTTCTGGAAAAAAAATGACAGCCAAGAAAAAGGTACTGCCAACACAAATATTTGGCGTGCCCTAAAGCCAAAGAGATAAGATTACATTTAGACTTACTCGTTTGAATATTAGTATCAAAAACAGTCCCATCCTGTAGTGTTCCTGTATACCAGCAGTGAACAATATCTCCCTTTTTGGGAAAGTTGGTTTTATCTCCTTTTTTAAGAACAGATTTTGTATATTTTGGTGGACCCTAGAAACAAAAACAACACACACATGGAGTTGTTAATTCATGTCCTTTTTTTAGAAGGATGACAAAGAGAATACTTATACAGCCAACTGTAACCTAAGTCCAGTCACAAGAATTTCACAGATTTGGTAACAAACTTTTGCCTCTGCTTCACCACTGAGTTAAAAAACTATCTCATTTCAAGTCTGTGATGAGAATATTAGTAACTAGCACACCTATAATTTCAAAAAACTTCCAGCTTCTTTGGAAACCAATGTTCTTTTGACAAGATTAATTATTCATCAAACCATAAAATGAATCCAGTTGTTTTCCAAGGTTAGAAATATCATTACATTTTAATTCCTATAAAATTATAAGGCATTAAATCATTGTGACATCTTTTCAAAGATTTGAGTTGTGTTATGTGTTAGCACCAATAATTGGCATTACTAAATACTTGAATTATATCCAATTAGAATAAATACAAGTAATATTGCATCTGTTCCTGGACTTGAATTGAAAATAAGTTCACACAATGAATGGAATTATCTATAGAAATTACCATAAGAGGCATATTTCCTAGAACAAAGCAGGATTATCAGGGTCTTTTTTTTTTTTTTTTAAAGCTAAGGGTTAATCTAATCATTAGTGAGGAATCTATGAGAGGAAAGCAATTTCCTAGGCAAACTTAAGAATATATAGAATTTTATACTACAGAACATTCCAAATGTTTTACAGAAACTAACTCTCCATTATGAGGTAGGTACTATTATTATCGCTGTTTTACAGATAAGGAAAAAAAAGGATAGAGTGGATAAGTAACCTGCTTAAGGTCCTAGAGCTCCAAAGTGGCTGTGTAGGATTGGAAACCAGGCAGCCTGGTTATAAAGCCCAAGCTCTTAACCACTTTACTACCGCTCAAGCACATATGCAATGTCAGGTATTAATACTAATCATTTTGTTATGTCCATTCATTTAACCATACAGCAACCTGGCAGTTCTTTCCCCATCTTTTATAGAGAAAGTAGTGAGGCCTGGATAGGGTATAAAGCCCTATGCAATTCAGAGTCTTAAGGATTAGAACTTTCAGCTAAAGCTAGGCTGCCTCCCTAAGTCAAAAGAAAGTCCCATCTATAGCTTGAATACAAAATGTATTACAAAAGTAAGCATCAACTTTCTTCCTGACCCATTCCAAGCTTGTTTTAGTGAGACGTTACTTTAGAAGTCTACTGCTAGTAGTGTAAACTGGTGCCATCTCTTTGGAATGCAATTTTAAAATGTTAAAAGTATGATAATTCTCTTTATACAAATATATACTAAAGAAGTAATTTGAAACTTAGGAAAAAATCTTTATGCAGTTATTCCATACACTATTATACATAATGGCAAAATAAAACCACACATTTATGGTAATAGTTTTTAGTAATGTGGAAGAATTCTTATAAGATTATAAGAAAAATCAGTAGAAAGTTCTACAGTAAAACCTCAACTATTTCAATAAATATACACACAGAAAATATTCAAAAATATTCTGAAATGTTAAACATTCATTTCTAGGTGTTGGAACTGTTTTCTCTATCCTTTTCTGTTATATCAGAAAAATAAATGATTTTTAAGGAATATAGTTGACTTGACAAAAACTGTTAACATATATCCCAAATTTGAAAATAATTTTAATTTAAAACATTTAAAAGCCACAAAATGAGGATGACAATATACGTATATTATGTGAGAATATCAGAATATCAAGACTTTATTAAAGAAATTACAGAAAACTATTGAGTGGATAAGATACGATTAGCAAATAATAGCCACATTTTAAAACTTAATGTCGGGCTTCCCTGGTGGTGCAGTTGTTGAGAACCTGCCTGCCAATGCAGGGGACACGGGTTCGAGCCCTGGTCTGGGAAGGTACCACAGGCCGCAGAGCAACTAAGCCTGTGCACCACGGCTACTGAGCCTGCGCGTCTGGAGCCTGTGCTCCGCAACAAGAGAAGACCGCGACAGTGAGAGGCCCACGCACCGCGATGAAGAGTGGCCCTTGCTCTCCACAACTAGAGAAAGCCCTCGCATAGAAACGAAGACCCAACACAGCCATAAGTAAGTAAGTAAGTAAGTAAATAAATAAATAAATAAATAAACACCAATGTCATTCCATTATTTTCCCATTTGTTGTACCACGTTGCTTGGGCATGTTGTGTTACCTACATTAGAGGTCCTAGTATAATGCAAACACAAATTGGTGGCTACATCTCAGTCTTAACAGTGAAGGCGCAATCTGCCTACTTGGGGCCTCAATTTCAGTGTTTAACAAAATGTCTTTTATGGATCACCCATTCCTTGGCATTGTTGGAAGAAAAGGGCCTAATATAATTAAGTTTGGGAAATACTGCATTCAAGTTAAATATGCCTCTTTTACATAACTTCTCAGAGCTAATTATGCATTAGCTAATATACACTGTGAATCTTCGAGTAGGAGACACAAGGTACAGCTTTTGATGACACATGAAAACAACCTGGAACTTCTGGGACCTATAAAACACACTTTGTAAAATGGTGGATCTCATTTTGGGTTTCATTGCAAGAACCTGATTGCTTCATGGTGGGAGGTCAGATCAGTCCCAAGCTATCCTGGAGTTAATGTGCTTGAATGGACCTGGCTTTTAGGTAATTTCCTGGCTTTGCAGCAATTTCTTGGTCCAGAGTGAGGAAAAGAACTACATTCCTGAGACTGGGTCTGAGCTAGAAACTTCTAGACACAGATAAAGGAACTTTTGAGAGTAATCATCATAGCTGCAATTAATTAGATCACGGCATAGCCCCTGAAAATGAGAGTACAGTTGACCCTTGAACACTTTGGGTGTTACGGGTGCCAACCCTTCCTGCAGTCCAAAATCCATGTATAACTTATAGTTGGCCCTCCCTTTACATGATTCCTCTGTATTCATGGTTCTGCGTCCGCAGATTCAACCAACTAAGGATTGAGGGTCATGGAGTACTGCAGTATTTACTACTGGAAAAAATCTGCATTTTATAAAGGACCCATGCAGTTCAAACCCATGTTGTTCAACGGTCAACTGTATATTACATAATTATTCTTAATTCAAGAAATATTTGAGCATGTTCTATATATCAGGAACTAGAGATAACACAGCTGAGCTGGCAGACATGGTTCTGGCCCTCCCTCTAACAGAGAATATAGGTGTGTGTTAGGAGACCTAAAGAGGAAGCACAGGGTGCCAACATGAGAAGGACACAGTAGACAACGGGCAGACATCTGTGACCAAAGAAGAATATTTCTGTAGAAGTAGTAAATATGGAGCTAGGCAGGGGCCAGATACTGGAAGGTTTTGAATGCCAAAAATGCAATCCAATAGAAAGCCAATGAGTCACAAATGTAATTTTAAGTTGTCTAGTTGCTGCATTAATATTATTTCAACATGTAATCAATATAAAAATGTTGAGATATTTTACATTTAAAAAAATCATATTAAAACTTTGAAATTGCATATTTTATACTTAGGGCACATTTTAATTCAGAGTGGCCACAAAGTGCTCAGCAGCCACATATGGCTAGTGACTACTGTATTGGACAGTGCAGCTCTAGACAGTATAGAGTTACTGAAGATTTTTGAGTAGGGTGCAGTTTGCAAAATATTTTAGAAAACTTACTAGAACAGCCATTTGGGGGCTGAATGATGATGAAAGAGCATGAAGGCAGATTAGTGACTTTTTCTACACTCCAGGTCTGAGGCCTTGGAATGCTTGAGAATCAAAAAGGAATGGATGAAGATGTGAAAAAGATGTTTGAGAGCCTTAGATCTGAGGGAGACATGAAAAGGAAAAAGAAAACCAAAGATCAGAGAAATTTTAAACTGGGAAGAAGAGAATGGTTACAACTATGTATGTTAATATTTTGGTAAAATAGAACACAAGAGTATATAATGAGAAAGGAATAAGAGAAGGTTGAGAACTTCTGGAAAAATGTCAAGTTGTTTATGTGGATGGGGAATTGAGCGAGGGATAGTATGAAAGCTGCTGAATAGCAGTGAAACTGGAAACCATGCTTGTCTGATATTAAGCATTAATTTATACAAAGCCCAGTAAAAAGTTTGATGATTATTTTTCTTCACAGTACTTGCTCTGCAGTCCTGAAGCATGAACAGAGAAAGCAGACAGCAGGGACCAGCAAAGTACTGGTCAAGAAGTTATGGAATCTAGGCAGGAAGACAATGAGTACATAAAAAAGAGGGCTCACACTGACCAGTTAAATGAAATGAAAAGACGTCTTAAAGAAAACGATATAGTTTAGGACTCTCACGAAATCTCTCTAAACTGCCTCCAGCCCTTACAGCTTTTACTTTATTTGTAATGCTCTTTTTCTTAATCTCTTGATATATTATCTGCTACCTCATACGTCCCTTACTCTAATTTTCTGGAATACTCTTTCTGGAAGATAAACTATGTTGCCAACTGCTTTTGTAACCCTTCTAATAATTATTATACCTCTATTTACCTTAGTAGCTGCTCAATATTTGCCCAGTATATAAAACATTTATCAAATTATTATTATTACTGTCACTGATACTAACACTGGTAGGAATGAGTGAGCTTAGTTGTTAGCAAGATATTATCAAAAGTGGCAAGATAATAATCCATTTAGCTCTACTGAAGCTTTTCAAAGAGCTGTCCTTAGCTCTACTAAGGCTGTCCATTTACAGAAATAGTTTTTTTTTTTTTAATGCAGACACTGGTGGAAAAATGTTTTATTTTTTTGAATTTTTGAATTTTATTTCATTTATTTTTTTATACAGCAGGTTCTTATTAGTTATCCATTTTATACATATTAGTGTATGTATGTCAATCCCAATCTCCCAATTTCAGAAATAGTTTTATCTGGCTCTTCAAACCTTAGTACCAAAATATAAAACCTGGGCTGGGAAAGATGAGACAGATGAACCCACACCCTGCAGCCAGGCCCGAATTAACTATTTATATTGCCTAGGACAACATGTACATCAGAAAAAGCTAAAAATAATCAAAAGGAAGTTTCTTTCACTCAGTCCAACTTGGCTATAGAATAGGCCCTTAAAATAGCTTTGAAAGCTCAGAAGTTCTGGCCAGACATAGAGGCAATATAAAATACAAAGCTAGGGCTTCTATGGTGGCACAGTGGTTAAGAATCTGCCTGCCAAGGCAGGGGACACGGGTTCGAGCCCTGGCCTGGGAAGATCCCGCATCCCGTGGAGCAACTAAGCCCGTACACCACAACTACTGAGCCTGTACTCCAGAGCCCACAAGCCATAACTACTGAGCCCACGTGCCTAGAGCCCGTGCCCCGCGACAAGAGAAGCCACTGCAATGAGAAGCCCGCGCACCGCAAGGAAGAGTAGCCCCCACTCACGGCAACTAGAGAAAGCCCACGTGCAGCAACGAAGACCCAACGCAGCCAATAATAAATAAATTGATTAAAACAAACAAACAAACAAACAAAACCAATGTACTGATTTGGCCCTATGAGTGAGAACATGTTTAAAAAAGAAAAAACTAGAGGTATTTCACAGGAAAGGCTTACTAACTGTAAAGCACTGGTTCTTAGGTTTTTTTTTTCCCTTATTGAGTACACCCAAGGGAGATAACCCACTCCATATTAGTGTTTGGCTCACTGAAAGTGGCCACCCCTTTTTATGAGAAGTCAGTGCTGTAAAGCAAATACTTTTTCTCAAATTCACATGCGAAATCAAGTAAGAATACATTCTATACATACCTCATCCAGAGTCTCTTCAGACTTGGTTTCTTTGGGTTTATCTTCATTAAGCTTCACATTTTTCACCTGCTCAGACACTTTGCTTATACTTTCAGTACCCTTGAAACGCTGTAAGGAAAATGGTCTAATGTTTATCATATTCATGTCTGGCTAAGAACAAAGGAAGAATCTTCTATTAAGCATTTTAATCAACAAATTATGAATCTCAAACTATCTCACAAAATAAATTCTGTAATGAGACCTGTAACCTTTAGAAAGACCAATTCAGACTCAGAGATATGAATACTATTCAATCAATTCCTTAATAAAGATTCTCTTTTTTTTTGTGGAAGGTGGTCATTTCATAGTTAACATATATTGGAGAATTTCTTAAAATTTGCTTTTCTAAAGGCTCAGCCTAGGTCTAACCAAGAATTTAAATACATTAATGAAATGCAACTTACTTTAGATTTATAACTTTTCAGTGTCCTTAAAAATCTGTTCCCTTTCAAAATATCAAAACATCCTGCCATATTACAGATTACCCATGCTAAATTTGACAGTCCATTTATGATTATAGTTAAGAAAAAGTACAGGTGGAAAAATGTCAACATATTCTGCAAATAAATGCATTTAAAGCTTCTTTTGGGGAATAAAATATCTAAAATGATATTCTGGTAATAAAATGTAACAATACTCACCTTACTTTCAAAAAGATGGTTATAGGCTGTAACCAAATGGTCCTTGTTAGCAGTCTTGGCCACATTTTTAATGTTTCCTAATAACTTATGTTCTGCAAGAAACTATAAAGAAAAAAGCTGGTTAGTCAAAATAATTTCCCTCATGTAAGAAAGGGTCTAAAATTAGAAAATGAACTTTTGAGTTAGAAATTATGTTTTCAATCATACTATTGATAAAAGAAATGAAATATTACATTTTATGCTCTACTTCATAACAAAAATAAGATTTAAGGAATATTAAAAAAACCATATTGGGTAATTATAAGAAATACTCAAAGATTAGAACTGTAATATTGCATAGTGGTTACACTGGTGTGTACTAACCCTTTTCCCATCATGGAACTCACGGAAGAGCACACTTACACAGCAAGCACATTTTAGTAACTGGGCAAAGTTGCTCCTGGCAGGATGTTACTTGGCCCGTGCCCTGGGAGCCTCCAGCCATGTTGGGTATTTCTATCTTGACGTACCTGTAACCCATTCTTGGCACACCCAGAAACACTGTTACACAATGCTGGATATATAGTGTTCAAATGTATAGGCTGTGGTGTCAGACCATCTGGGTTAAAATCCTAGCTGTCTGATTTTAGACAAGGGACTAAGCTTTCCTAAAGACTCAGTTTCTGCATCACAGTGAAAGATTAATAACAGCATCTTATGTCAGAGGCTTCTTATAAGGGTAAATGTAATAAACCATTTCCAGTCACACGGTAAGAACTCAATACATATTACCTATTTGATTAATAAAATAATGTATTTAATAACTCTAACAGTAGAATTCCATTTCTCTCAAATATAAGACTAAACAGATGAATACTGAAATACTACTACTGAAATATCAAATCATCAAAATCATGTACCTTCATCTCAAAATCATGTACATGTTCTCCTTACTTTATTCTTCCTTTTCTACCTGTGGTCCTTGCTTGATTCCTCATTTTGTTACTTTCACAACGTTGTCCTCTGGCATCTTTTAATCTTTCTAACCTTCTAACCTTACAATAAAGCAGTTTTTCTGAAACTATCACTATTGCATTTTTCTCTCACGCTTAGAGAGAAATGTTCTAAATGATAAAGCCTCATGGGAAAGGCTATTTTGATTAAATAGAAGCAATCAGTTACTTTAGCACTGTTGTGATTTCTTTAGCAAGTTTTCAGAAAGATATCCAAAATATAAACATTTCCATGATATCTTATGATCAATAAAATAGTGATTGTCAAATATAGGTTTACATATGTGAATGAACACTGGAAAATATGCATGTAAAAGATTAGTATACTAGTATTAGTATCTTAGTATTCTGACAAGCCAAGTCTCTTGAAATTGTCCAACGTGGGCCAGTTTTACATTAGATTCCACCTTGGGATGATTTGTTTTATAAGAATTTGATGAATATAGTACAGTTTTGAGGCATTACACGTTAATAAATGATATATCTACTCTATTGTTTCAGTGAAATGTGGATTGGCTTAAGAGAAAATAATTCCACTAAAATAGTAAAATGGTATAAAATGGTGTCTCTGAGGCATGATCTTTCATTTTCACCCTTGTATCCCCAAACACTGAGTACGGTTCTTGCTGTAGATGTTGTATAAGTATTTGCTGATGTCAAAATTATTATTCAGGAGGGAGATTATTGGAAATGAAGTTAAAAATCGTAGATAAACCACATTTAGACCACTGCTATTTCTGATAAGTGGGAGATGCTGCGGGCACACAAACTGTACAGTCGTTCTGCAATTTAAGGAGATATGAATTATATTAATTTCCGAAGGAAAAAAAGCCGTCTGACAAAAATAACTTGTGACTACAGAGAGTGGTTAAGATGGAGACTGTGCTGGGCGTAAAAGTAGGAAGAATGCCAAATAGATTTCTTGGTCTGTTTATAACAATAGGAGACCACTGTACCCGAAATACTCAAGTAACTCCCCTAAATATACAGGTGAAAAGGTCATTTAATGGGTAGATATTTTAAAAGTTAAACAGCGAGACTGTAAAAAAATCACACTTATTAGTGTTCAGTGCTTGGTAATTGATGAGAAAAGCAAATCGCGCCATCGTTCCCACCGAAATCTTCACATCCCTTCTCATTTCCCTAACAGCCCACACTCCCCGCCAGGGATCTATCTCACGCAAGCCTCCAGTCCTCGGGCCCCCGTCTCAACCCCCAAAATCTACTGGGCTCCTTTTTTTCACAGCCTCCACCTCACTCAAGCATCTCAATGAGGTCCTAAATCTGCTACTGCTGCGTGCCGCAAGAGGTAAAGTTGCTCCACCCGCCCAAGTAGGGCCGGCTCGAGGGGCGGGAGCGTGGCTCGGGAGCGCACGCGGGACCTCTCCGGCCTTCCAGGCCACCGGCCGCTGGAGAGCGAGGGCGGGGGCACCGAGGAATACGGAATGTATGGGCATCTACGGGGGGGTGAAGTGTCCCTCAGCCGCACCAGCCCGGCCGCCCCGCCGCCTCCGGTACCGAATCTGAACCGTGATCCTGCAGAAACTTGATAATGTCCTTCTTAGGGAGCTGCTCGCTGCGCAGCTGCTCCACGGTCCAGGCCCGCTGTGGAACCGCCGCCGCCATCTTCCCCCGCTGCCTCCGCTTTACTGAGCCAGCCCGCCTGGGTTCGGCATCGCCCCGCCCCAGAGGCGTGGCTCTGCTCGGAGCTCGAGGGGGCGGGGTCACGGCGCTACCCTGCAGGATTGGGGCCAGTGTTTGAGTGACGTCAAGGCTGTGCTTCGCGGGCGTCTTTGTTGAGTCCGGGGTAAAACCCGCCGATGTGGCCCTGGCAGCCGACTACGCAGAAATCCATAAGCTGTCAGCTGCTCTTAATTGGAATCCTTGTGAGGCGACGACCTCCGATAGTAGTGATTGTTTACCAGCCATTACCCACACTTGTTTATTACCGACAAGCTGCTATGCATTTAAAGTCTTTAATCTGTTTTAAGGAAACAAAAGCATTCAGACATCTAATCTCATTTTATCTAGTTCTAGCCTAAAGATTCACATCTGACTTGGCTCAGTCCTTGTCCATCAGAACAACCTATATTCCACCACTTTCCTTTTAAAACTCACACAAATTAAACTAAAATACAACCGGTTCCCTTCCCCCTCCCAAATACAAACGTGATAAACAGCATGTCTAAAAGCAAGTCCAGACACTTGACCATATAAAACAATGTAAAGTGGCTACACGCAGGATGGCTCTTGCTGATGGTGGCGATGAGGGGGTGACATTATTAGTGGTCCAAACAACCTCGTGATGTGTGTGTACTTTTCCTCAATACACGAAGAAACAAATCTACAGAGGTTACTCGAAGTCGCCACTTTTATAGGGGAGAAGCCGGGAATTGTATCCAAGTCTGAGGTAGAATGCTATCGCTAGAGTAGAATAATATCACCCCGACGCTTACTGCTCTATATCATTTATGAAGATGTAATGGTGGAGCATCAGAACGCCTTGCTTTTTTTTCCTTCGGATTTTCCAACGAATATCAAGCCCAAACCATTCACTTCCCTTTTAACAATACAAAATATTAAGATAATGGGGCTTCCATGGTGGCGCAGTGGTTGAGAGTCCGCTGCCGATGCAGGGGATACGGGCTCGTGCCCCGGTCCGCGAAGATCCCACATGCCGCGGAGCGGCTGGGGCCGTGAGCCATGGCCGCTGAGCCTGCGCGTCCGGAGCCTGTGCTCCGCAACGGGAGAGGCCCGCGTACCGCAAAAAAAAAAAAAAGATAATGGGTTGCCACTCCTGAAAAAGAGACCTGGCGTTTTGTTTTCTCAGCCTGGATAGAGAAATAAGACACGTTTTTAAATTTTATCTAAATATGTTTGTTTTTCACCTCATCTTCCGATTTAAAAACATGGCCAACCACAAGGAATAAGGCAAGTTAGACTCTCAATAACGTTGAGTTAAAAAAAAAATGGGTATCCATTGTTTCTGGACCTCAAGTTTATTTATTGTATCATTTTAAGAGGCATCAATTTCGCAATGATGCCAGGACACCTCGTCATTAGAAACGGAACCCAACTTTAGAGTTGATAAGCAATTGACAAGGGGACCGAATTTGCGGTGGTTCCATAACAACGCGCATGCGTCTCCTAGAGGGCCACGGGGTTTCCGGGAAGCCAGCCAATCATTTTCCCCACGCAAACTCAGTGGCGGCACTTTCAACTGGATTAACAGGCCTCAATCCCGCCTTCTAGTTCTAGTGTTTTTTATGCGAAGATAACCGATGGGGGCTGGAACGGAGGCTGTTGAGCTGCAACAGCTGCTGGCGTCTGAGAGAAGCCTTCGGTGGTCTTCGGCCTAATGAGCGGGCGACAAAGAACGCTTTTTCAGACGTGGGGCTCAAGAGTCTCCCGATCCACTGGGGCTCCGAGTTGCAGCTCTGGAACTGAGCGGCCTCAGAGCCCTGGCATCTCCGGGGCGAGTTTTCCTGCAGCGGCACAGGCAGCAGAGGCGGCGGAGGCGACAGAGGCTCAGCCCGAGTCGGACGATGATGTGTTGCTGGTCGCGGTGTACGAAGCAGAGCGGCAGCTGAGTCTAGAGAATGGCGGGTTCTGCACCTCAGCGGGCGCCCTGTGGATTTACCCTACTAATTGCCCGGTGCGGGACTACCAGCTGCACATCGCCAGGACCGCTCTGTTCTGCAACACGCTGGTGTGTCTGCCTACCGGCTTGGGAAAGACCTTTATTGCCGCCGTAGTCATGTACAATTTCTACCGCTGGTTCCCCTCCGGCAAGGTTGTCTTCATGGCCCCCACGAAACCTTTGGTGACGCAGCAGATCGAGGCTTGCTACCGGGTGATGGGTATCCCGCAGTCCCACATGGCCGAAATGACAGGTATCTTAGAAGCAGTGGGCTAATGTGAAATTAAGAGCTGGGACCCAGGGAAAAGTATGCGTTCTGGGAAATAGCGTTAAAGGAATTCCTGACCCGTGTGGAATAGTCCCCAGATCACAATATGCTTATTTTACGTCTTATCCCTTGAAACATCATCTACTTGTAGCAAGTCCAGCTATAATGAATAGGGTTGCTTTATTCAATCTTCAGAGAATTCTTGTATCTTGTCAAAACATTTTGAAGTGATTATGTGTGTATACCCCATCGGTAAGTGAACATGAGTCTCTTCCGCAGAAGGATTTCCCAGTTGAAGAATTTTGTTCTCTTCAAATATTATGTCATTTTGTAGGAATTCTTTAATGGCAGTCTAGTCGTGGTTTTCGGTAAAAGCCAGCATTGACATTTGGACCACAACAAATCTTTAAAATGCATTCCCATGATTTGTCCAATTATCATCTTGAAAGCACATTACCAAAGCAG